TGGATTGGGCAGTGTTCACATCCACACTGCTGATATCTGGGGCTGAATGATTCTGTCTCTCTTGGGAGCTGGAGGGTGGTTCTGTGCCATGTAGAATGTTGTCAGCATCCCAGGCCTCTACTTCCTACATATAATAGCACAAATGTCTCTAGACATTACCACAAATACCTGGGGGCTGAATCACCCCTAGTGAGAATCACTGGGTTTGAGGAAGGCCAGCTTAGACCTCTGGGAGTCTCTGGAAGAGTCTGATGTTAGAATCTCAGCATGGACCCTCTTTATCTTAATAATCCTGCTGTTTCTTTCTAAGTCCCTAATACTGGAAGAGGGAAGTACTTTGTGGTATAGATTATAGGCCCAGCAAGAAGAGCCCAGGGCCAGGAGTCAGAGCTGCAGAGACAGGGAGTCCCCTGACCCTGAGCCTTTACCACCTGGGTGTTAACTGTCAAGTGGAGTTTAATTCTTGTGCCCCACCTGGGTCCCTGGGGCTTGGACCACAACTTTGCTGCTAGAGTATCTCTTAAGAAGCCTTACTGAGTCATGGTTTTACAACTGGGGACTGTGTGTGTGTGTGGGGGGGGGTTCATACATATGTGTAGGGGAAAGCAACTGCTCCAGAGAGCCTACCCAAATGGGTCCCTGTAGGGAATACCAGGCAGTGGATTCCATAGACAGGAGCCTCCAGGACTCAGTTATGCCTGAACTTGAAACCTCCTGTGCCCAGCCCAATGTTTGGAACATACAGTGCTCAATTAAGATTCATTTCATAATCAAATCTCAATGGCCTGGCTAAGTCTTAGTTTGGACCCATCTTTATGAGGCCCTGAGAGTTCATTCGGGGTCTTCATAACTTCATCTAGAAAAAAGTGGGTCCCAGAAATCCAGGACTGTCAGTTAGGCTTGCTAAAAACAGAAGATGAAGGAACCCTGAAGTGCCACTGATGTTTGAATAGTGTGCTGCCCCTGGTGCCCAGATGTGTAGGGCTGGGTAGAGTGATCCCCACACTTAAGCCCAGTATTAATGGCAAAGCCCCAGAGAAGCAGCCTTTACCTGCCCCTGCACATTCCTCCCACTATGCCTGGATGTTGCACCTATCCCACACAAGGGAAGAGATGAGGTAGTAGCAAGCTCCTTCGACAGTGGCAGCTACCCCAACACCTAGTCCTCCTCTTGTTCTAAGAACAATCTTGCCACTGCGAGCTCAAGGGGACAGAGAGACCCAGGGATAGCAGTCCTGCCCAGCACAAGATACATGCTGCCTGCATTGATAGGAGTGCCTGGTAGGAGCTCAGTGCCTCATTCCACCCACACAGCTTGGACAGTCAGGAGGAAAAACTGTGCAGGCAGGATGGAGCCAAGTCCATGTTCTGAAGGGTGGGGCCATCTGGCTCAGGAAAGGTGTTGGGGTGGAGACAAGACAAAGAAGAGGCCACTTGGAGAATCTTCTGGAGATCAGAGCCATGTTGGTGACAACAGACAAGGATGATTTAGAAAGCAGCCAATTCTGTTCCACAGAAAAGGAAGTGGGGCATGAAGGAACAAACAGAGAGCAAAGGGCAAGTCTGGCACCAGGGCTATTTATAGCCCAAGTTACACATGTGACAGTTCTATAGTCAGAGCCCTACAGGCAGGGAGGCTGATCCTGGGAGGAAGTCACAGGTAAAGGGCAACTAGAAGAAGGTAAGAAGGCCTTCTGGCTAACCTGAGGCCAGAAAAAGATAACCAGGAATGGAGAGAAACAAACTGGGCTCATGATGACATGGTAAGAAATGTTATTAGACTCACAGGTAAGCAGAGGGCTGGTCTATTAGGAAGCCCTCCAAGATTCCCCCCAGGGCTCTCTCAAATCCAGGGGAGCCTGCTGATGATCAGGATGAAACTGCTCTCTGGTGCAAGTTCATAGCCACCACACATACTTGACAAGGGGCCCTCTTCTGGTCTGAGTAGGGCCGTGGCTCTCTGGACAACAGGCTGAACACTGCCCTGGAGTCCAGCTGGCAAGCACTCAGAGGGCCTGACTTTCACAGCCAGAGGGTTTTTAAAAGCAGGCCTCTGTACAGGATCACCTGCTGTGGGAAAGCCTCAGGGAGACCAGTCTTCTAGAAGGAGATCCTGACATGCAGAGTTGGCTCCTTTAGTAGATATTCTGTCAATAGACCCACCCAAGGCCTTCTTGCTGCTCTGTGGTCAAGGAGGGTACAAGGTCGCCTGGCCCCCATTCAACCACCTAACTTTTCAAGGTGGATGTTCATGGAGAAGTCCTGAAACCCAGAAGCACACAGAGCTTCTGTGTTGCCATGGAGTTCCCAGGGAAGTTCTCTTAATGTTCCACAGCCCAGGAGATTCAAGCTTGGCAAGCAGGGGGCAAACCAGGATTGGGGAGACAGAAGAACTCCACCAGCAGGACAGGGAAGAAGGGATGAACAGGTTCCCCTATATCTCTAGCTTGTCAGAATCAGGGTATGTCTGGCCTCAAACCCACCATAATCCCTAGAGGCCATAAGAAGTGAAACTGAACACCAAGACCATGCCTGTCTCCAGGGCTCTGATGGGCTTCTACACTTGGGGTTCAACACAGTAGAAAAAGCACCTCACTGGAGGGCTGTTGGAATGAGACTAGGTGACATTTCAATTCCCCTTGGACACCTACTGCCATCTGCTCTGGGCCAGGTGGAATGCTCAGTGGACTCTAGACCTGTCTGGGTAGATGGTGTACCATCCTGTCAAATATGCAACATGAGATGTACTTATGTATGGACTCTGATGGGGGGGCAGGGGGAGGGCTGCAGGAGGGAGCAGGGGGAGGGTTTTACATGGCATGATATCTATGAGAAGGTCCTTTATGGCTTGGGATGAGCCCCTGAACTGGTGCTAATGGCCAACCATTCAAATCAGGAGACCAGTGGTGGGGTAGAGGCCAATCTGACCTGGGCTTGGGGTAGAGAGGGTAGATTAGCTTCCTCCCAAAGCCATGGAGGTACATCAAAGCCTGGCTGGGTAAAGTCAGTACTCAGAGGATGGATGGACAGGGATATAAGGATCCTTCCTGACACCAAGCCATACTCACAAAGCAGCAAGAGAGGGCTTGAGCTGTGAAAGGCAGCTAAGGAAAAGAGCATCCACAGAGGAATCAGGAAAGCCTCAACATCACAGCTGTGTGGAGTGGGGCACATATGCCTCTCTGAACTTCAGTTTTATATGACAGTGATATTACACGTAGGATAAGAAGTTACACAAGGCAGTAGCACATGCATGCCACATGGAGTAGTTATATGTTAACATGCTGGCTTCCTCCAATCCTTGTGCTTGAGAATGAGAAGTTTGCCCAGCAACAACATCATTAGAAATCACATAAAGCTATAAAAAGAAAGCAGTCTTAGCAAGCAAAGGTGTCAACCGTAGAGCCAAGCAACGACAGTGAAAAGATGCACTTCTAGGGCTTCTTTACAGCAGTGCGGAAGGCACACTCCTCCCACGCACACAGTGTGATGCTGGCGTTGGAAGCCAGGGTCTTGTGCATATTAAACATGAGTTCTACCACTGAGCCACACTCCAGTCTCCTCTTTTTCATTCTTGTGTTTAAACTCAGAATTAAAACCATCCAGAAACAAACTAAGCAGAAGGGAGAAGACAGCTGCCTATCAGAGGTCAAAAAGGGACCAGAAAGACAAAAGGGCCAAAGACAAAATGGAGAAATCGCTCTGGTGCAGCAAGGGTTTACTCAGCCCAAGAAGAAAGATCTAAGAAGTCAAGGGAGGTGTCAGTTTTGTTTCCTGTTGCTGTGATAAAATATCTGACAAAAGCAGCTAAGGGATTTGCTTATAATTACAGACCATCATCGAGGGGAAGTAAACACACAGGAACTTGAAGCAGCTGGTCATATTACACCCGCAGACCCACAGTCAGGTAGCAGAGAACCATGAATTAGTGCACACATGGGAATGCTCAGCTCACTTTCTCCATAGGATCCCAAGCTCAGGGAATAGTGCCACCCATGGTGGGCAATAGCCCCACATCACTTAATGTAATTAACATAATCTCCACAGACATGTCCATAGGCCAGTCTAATCTAGACAATCCCTTACTGAGACTCTCTTCTTAGATGATTCTAGATTGTATCAAGTTAACAAACCTAACCATCACAGGAAGTATCCTTGTTCCAACTGCAGGAGCCCAGCCCAGCCCCTGGATGCCACTAAAAGAAATAGTTTGAACTCAGCCCTAGCCACAGGACTACTGAGTGGCTCAAGATACTGCTGGTTGGGCATAATTACTGTGAGAACTGAGCTGTCCAGCCTGAAAGCACCCTGGGATGATGTTCCCAAGGGAGAAGGGCTAGCCCATGAAGTGTGCTACTTGGAACACGTAGCAGATCATCTCCCAAATGTTCCACTACTCACTAGCCAGATGACCTTGGAGGAAGAGACCAACTGACCTCAGTTACATATTGGTAAAGTGGAGGTGACAGCAAGGTAAATTCCATAGGACTGATGGTGAAGATCAAGTGAGAACTCAGGAGAAAGACATTGAAAAAACAGGGCCATCATCAGTGTCTTCTTTATTGAAAACGGAACAAGAACATTCCCGGAGCACAAGGACAGAGGCCCAACATTGGCCTAGCTGAGCATTACATACAGCTAGGGTCACCATTTAAGTCCTGCTGGTTTAGGTAGTTGCCTCTGACATTGCTGTTCTCAGCCTTGAAACACATGTAATCTGCTTTTCTAAGCTCAATTTGTAAAGCAACCCATGACTTCTCTGTGCAATGTATCCACAGGGCTGTCTCTACCCACCTGATGCAAGGACAAGAAAGGAGTTTTCAGTGATTTGTCTAATGCTGCCATCACCTACTTGCTACAGCCCCAGAGCAAGGAGTCGCCTTTCAAGAAGCCTCCTGATGACAAGGACTGGCCCAGAGCTAGGAGCTTAGTGCCCCATCCAGACTCCAAATCTGTTCCACGCTCCTGGCAGGAGTACCTGGCAGGTACTTTAGACTCACCACTTTGGTGGGCTCCATGACTCCTGAAGCCAGAGCATCCCGGCTGCCTCTGCCTTTGCTGCTGAGGTGAGGTGAGGAAGAGGGTGAATCATCGATGTAGGGCAGTCCATCCTGGTGCCGGCGCTGCTCCTCAGCCTGGTCTGCAGCACAACCATACCCAGGTGGTGTTCCAAATGAGGCATCTGTGTGTGCAAAGAAGCAGCCTGTGTTAGAGAAAGACAAGGTGGCTGTCCCAGGAGTGTCCACAGCTCACCTATCCAAGCAAACACAGAGGCTGTCATGTACAGGCATCTCCTGGGGATTTTTAAGTACACTGTCATCACCTTCACAAACTACTGACCAAAGACCATAGAAGGTAAAGAGGATGTCAACTGCAGCTTGTTCCCAGACGATACAAGACTAGCCAAGTCTTCCCTTAGGAGGGTGGGCAAGTGACATTTGGCCTCTGTGAATACACACACAGACACACACACACACACACACACACACACACACACACACACACACACCCTTTCCTAGCACACAAATCCTAAAATCCTTGGACTCCTCAAAGTGCTAAGTATTTTCATATAGTAATAAGATGACTGGTGGCTGGAGTTTTGTGAGAAGCTCAGGATGGGGGCTGATTATGATTAGAGGGTTGGAACTTTCAGCCTGACTCTGGACTTCTAGGAAAGAGGCAAGGGGCTAAAGGTTGAGTTGATCATCAGTGGCCCAGTGGCCAGTGACTTAATCAGTCATACTTATGGAATGAAGTCTCTAGAAACCTAAAAGGTAGGGGCTGGGAGAGCTTCTTGGTTGATGAACACATAGGAGGAATTTCTAGGCCACCCCACCTTATACTTTGTGCACCTCTTTCTTCCTACTGTTCCTGAGTTGTCTTTAAAAAAAAAAAATCATAAACTGGTAATCCAGTAAGTAAAACTGTTTTCCTAAGTTATGTCAGCCATTTGTGGACAAGTGATAGAACATGAGGAATGGTTTGTGAAATCCCCAGTTTATAGCTGATCAAATAGAAAAAAGAGATCACAGTCTTGGACTTTTGGTTAGCGTCTGGAGTGGGAAGAGGCTGGTCTTATGGAACTGAGCCTTTAACCTGTGGGATCTGACGCTGTCTCCAGGAAGATAACGTTAGAATTGAGCTGAAATTGTAGAACACCCAGTTGGTATCAATAGAGAAGTTAAGAACTGTTTGGTGCGGAGGAAACCCCTACATTTAGTCACAGAAACATTCTGTAAAGTGTGACAAGAAGACAGGGGTCTAATATAGGGGGAGAACCTGGGTAAGGAGAACCTCAAATGCTAGGAGATCTTTGTACAGTCCTTGTACACCTGACAGTGGGAATCTGTTAAGTAGGGAGACCAGAGTCCTCTGTACAAACTGTTGGGAGACCTTATAAAAGATTACCATGATCTTGGATCCCCACACTGGCTGCTACTTGTAGTAGAGTCTCTTGCCAAGACCCTTCAGTGGACACACACATAGGCAGAATGTGACCTGGTCTTGTGTCATCAACTCTGTGAAGATATATGGAACATGCTGTGGGTCAGTATAGCAGTCAGTACAGTGTTGGATACTAGACCAGGTAGCCCAGCAGATCTTGGCCCCGTTTTCCTGCTAGTCCTCTGGGAAGCCTTCACAAGATTCACAGTGTTGGATCTGGCTGCATTATAGTTTTGAAGCTCCCCAGGTGTTGCTGACATAACAGCCATGGCTGGGGAGCACTGTTAGAGGTGGAGGCAAGTAAGGAAGCTATGATATTAGCCATTCATGGGTGCCTACAACTGGCAGCAGGTCTTATCCTAAGACCACAGGCTAACTGACCAGCCCGGGTACTGGCAACTGTGAACAGTAATTCCCAGCAAAGCCTGCTGGTCCTGGGCTAGGGAACCAGAGCTACAGCTCCCCCCCCCCCGCCCGACTGCCAGCTGACTCACAGCTCACCTTCCACCTGGTCTGCCTAACTCCCAGACCACTTTTACCCAAATCTGAGCAATCTGAGTAGAACACAAGGACAGAGGGCCTCATTCTATAAGAGCCTCCAGTTGGTGGAACTCCGGTTACAGACAGTAACATATTTCCCACAAAGGTACCTGAAGATACGTCATTCCCTCCTCCCAGGCTGGATAACAAAGCCCAGGGGTGCTGCTAAGCCACTGGCCACCTGTAGCTTCTCGGTACCATTCCCAGCCTGAGATCCCTTCCTTTCCTTCTGTTTTATTTTTTTGAAATAGGGTCTGATGAATCTCAAGCTGGCCTATGGCCTACAATTCAGTATGTAGCCAAGGATAACCTCAAACTTCGGGTCTTCCTGCATCCACCTGCTGAGTACTGAGATTATAGGCATGCAACCACCGCACACCAGGTTTATATGGTACTGGGGATTGAACCCAGGGTTTGCACACTCAGCAAGCATTCTATCAACTGAAATAAATCCCCAGGCCCCAGCTTGAATTTTTGATGGGATGGACCCCTCACTACAGACAGACATCAGCCTACAAGGGCCCAGAGCCTGCTAAATGTTGTAAGATTCTTTCAGGTAGCAACATATTTTTCATCATCTAACAGGATCCCTTGTATCTGAGTGCTCCTCCTCATTTCCATGCCACTGATGGCCATGCAGATTCATGTCAAAGGTCAAATCAACACTTGGCTAGATAACTAACCCAGAAAGAATTTCAAGATCAGTCTCGTCCTAGGGCTTACTGCAAATGAAATGCAGGATTCCATGTTAGTGACCGTCCTAGTTTATTTCCCCATTGCTGTGACAAAACACTCTGACCACTACTAACTTGGGGAGGAAAGGGTTTATTTTATCTTACATCTCCCAAGTCACAGTTCATAAGGGAGCCCAAGGTAGGAACTCAGGGCAGGAACTTGGAGGCAGGAGCTAGAGCACAGACCATGGAGGAACTCTGCTTATTGGCTTGCTCCCTGGCCCCTGCTCAGCCTGCTTTCTTATGCAACACAGGCCCACCTGCCCAGGGGTGGCACCACCCACAGTGGGCTGGGCCCTCCCAAATCACTCAACAATCAAGAAGGTGCCCCACAAACATGGCCACAGGCCAGTCCAATAGAGACAATTCCCCAATTGAGGCTCCCTCAACCCAGGTGTGTCAAGTTGACACTAAAGCTATCCAGCACAGCGACACAATGAATGTCCTTAGCAACCTGACAGGATAATCAACTGCCTGGTGAGGACTTGCCCACCAATGTGGAGTGGGCACACTGACTCTGCTGAGGACATTTCACCTTCACGTGGTGAGACTGACAGATCAGGAGGCTCCATCGCCCCTGCTGTATTCCATATTGGGGCTTCTGTGCACTATCCTAGACCACCTAGGTACCTCTAATCTAGATTCCTCACTTTGCCCTACAGTATAACTAGGATGGGGAGGAAATCCTTCGATTTCTTTATCCCTAGTTCTGACCTACATAGGGCAACATACAGTGGGGCCTGCCTTTGAACACTACACTTTTCAAGTCCATGGTCCCTAAGTCACAGAAGCAAAAAGCACATAACTTAGAGATTCTGAAAGCTGCCATATCCTAAGAACCAGAATCAATTGGGAGGTCTTACTCTCTGGCCCCTCTACCAGGGACATTCAGTGAGGATCTGGGCATTGTCATCTGGCAGGTCTAAGGTAGTTCTTGCTGCAAAGCTCTGTCCAAAGTTGAAACCAGGTCCTTGAAAAACAGCAGGTAGGGCCTGGAATTCCAGTGGCTTTGGCTCTGGTTTCAGGCAGCTCAGGAAGATGAGAAACTCTACCTGAACCCTATCTGGCCTAGCAGTAAATAGGGAAGAGAGTGGGCTGGTCAGACCTCAGAGCACTGCAGACATCCATAGGCTTCTTGTGGAAAAGAAGTCTGGGGGGGGGGGGGGGGGGGGGGGGGGCGGTGTTTCAGTCCAGATGGGTACTTTCTAGTTTCTGCTTCCTTTTTGTTTGTTTGTTTCTAAGACAGTGTCTCACTATGTAGCTCAGGATGGCCTTGAATTTGCTATGCAGGCCAGGGTGGCCTCAAACTTGCAATCCTATATGTTGAGATGATTTGCAGGCTTTTGCTACCATAACTAGACACCTCTATTTCTTAAGTCACACCATTTTTTTCATTCTTCAGAAAAATTAAGTGCTGAATTGCCATTTGATCCAGTAGTTTCATTGTTATGCAAAAGAATGAGAGCAGAGATTCTAACAGATGTGTGGACACCCATGTTCACAGCAGCACTCATACAGCTAAAACGTGGAAGCAAGCCAAGTGTCCATCAAGAATGCATGAACAAAGTGTGGCATACCCACATGATGTGACGCTAACCAGGTCTTAATAAGAAAGGCAACAGGACACATGGTACAAAATGGATGAACCTAGAGGACGTTATAACTTAAAACACCAAATGTGAAAGAACACGTGAGGTACCTAGCCAAATTCAGAGACAGAAAGTAGGCAGTGCATGCAGAACATCTTCTCCACAAAAGCACCCCGAAGACAATCAGACATCAATCCTAGAAGAAGGGACACAGGGAGGTTCTCCTGGACCAGGCTTTTCTGCTGGGTACAACTTCCTTTAAGTGGCCTCACTGCCACCTGAAGTATAGTGATCCAGGCACACAGACTCATGGCCGCCCTCTGGCCAAGAAGCCCAGAACAATCCAGGGGCCTGCACTCAGGAGGAACATGGCCCTGCCCACCTCAAACAGAACATGGAACAGCGACGAAAGGCCAGGGGAGCAATGCTTTGGCAAACATATCCTCGAGTCAAAAGAAAGGGTGAAGAGGCTTCTGGGATGAACTGGGCTTGGGGTAGCCTGAGCTCAATTGTGGCAGAGTGGTGTCCATATTAACAAAGGTGAGAGCCAATAAAACTTCCAATGGCTTGGCCAGCAGTGGCAGGCAGGTTTCCTTGCTCCTGCCTGTTCTTAGCTCTGTAGTCTCTCCAGGGTCCCAGGCAAACTGAAGTTACACATCGCTGGTGATTGTTGCTTTTATAGACAGCTGCTCACATCCTTTGGAGGGTGGGTAGCCATACCTCTCTGGGACAGGCTTAGAAAACTGGCTGGGACACAGTCTCACCAAAGGGCACACAGAATCCACCGTGAAAGCCAGTTCTAGATCCCACGATCATCACCCACAGTTTGGAGCCTTCTTCTAGAACCCAATGTACCAAAAGCTACCTTTGGTAAG